ACGACTGTTCCCACATGCTGGAATGACGACTAAACAGTCGTCGTTCCCCAAGATGCGGATAACAAGCATCTAACACCCCATTTGTCCGGTATCTTCCTCACATTTATAAAAAGGATTGGACATCCCTACGAGATAAAAATATAAACCGGAAATCGCTTGCTATTTATCAAGCATATATAGTTGGATTTATTTTAATTCTAAAAATATTTGAAAAAATTTATCAATAAATTTAGTTTTGTTATATAAAGTATTGCAATTTTGTAAAAAGGATAATACCTTATTAAAGTTATTTCTGAAAGATTCTTATAAATTATTTATACATGTATTTATCTTTTATCGCAATATTTTTTCATTGCTCATTCGCCGACGTGGATTTAATATTCAGTGACGTGTGCGGAATACAAATATGTTCTTGCTTAATCATCGTCTTATACAAATCTGACCGGTCATGTTTCGCCGCTTGATTAGGATGGATTTCAGGTCTCAGACGGGGAGTGACTCTGCCACCCACGTATTCAATTTTCCGAAAAGCTCGAATGTTTGGTCCACCGCTGCTCGTGAGTCTCGCAGTTGCACAAAGCCGCGGCATGACGTCCAAGGTGTCCCATCGACAATAGCGGCATAAGGCATGGAGAAGAAATCCCCACGGTTCGCTCTGCCCGTTGATCTCATCGATTCACGGTTCACTTAGTTCGAGTCCTTCTTCGACATTTGTCGTACAACTCACTCCAATGTTGTTACATAACGATTCCGTGTCCACGAGAAACCCCACCCCGTCGTCAGTAAACCAGCATATGCTTTTCTCGGAGATTGTGCTCGATCGTCCACGTTCGTTCAAATTTTATGGATAGCCCGTTTCGTTTTCTTCTCGAATTTAGTGGTAGTCCATCGGGATTCACACATTGGGACATCCTTATTTCCCATCGCGGCCGGTCCTGCCCATAATTATAGTCCCAAATGTACTCGATAAATGACAATTTAACCGATGAAAGATTCGCATCAGATAAATGGATTTATAAATGCTGTATTATATATATAATTAGGAAAGAACAGACTTTTTCGGTGAAATTATAATCTTGTATAATATTAAATATAGATTGAAAATATGTTAGCAGAATCATTAAATAGCTGAACTATTTTTTAAATAATTGTTGCGCTCCAATTCACATAATATTTCTAAAGCTGTCGCGATACAAGCATAATCCGTGACACAAAATATTACAAGAAAGTATCATATCTATTTCTCGAGGCTTATGCTGCTCCGAACTGGCCCACGTGGAGTCACATGGCAATAACTCTAAAATTTGATTGCAGCAGACATCGGGATAGGCTACCCCCCAAGGCAACCGTGGTAATAGGCGCTCAACCCTCGCACCCACGCTCTTCTCGCTCTCGAACTAAAGTTCGGGCCAGCTCGGTCGCCACCAGCACCACTACATCGTAAATAAAACGAAATTGTTGACCGGTACCTTTCGGCTGGTTAAGCGTTAAACAAAGGCCCACGGGATGTCGGGCGCCGTATCTTTGATCTCTGTTTGCCGAGGCATGCATCACCCGCGAGATAATCAGGAATAATTATTTGTTAGATAAATACGATCGCAGCAGGCGATAGCGCGCTAAATTTATGATGGACCGCTTGCCGTTTGTAAATGACGTAGAAGGAGAGCTTGTTCGCGCCGAGCTATGAATATTCTCGCTACTCGTGCGAAGCACGAAAATCCAGCGTGTAAATTCGTATGATACATCGGTTGGATTTAAATGGTATCGCAATAGTATATTAGATAAACGATTTAATTTAAATACTTCAATTATTCCATCAAGCTTTCACATCAAGCATTATCTCAAACATCTTTCAAATTGGAAAATAATATTGCGAAGAGGAATATTTCACACGCGAACTCATGGATCTATCTGATCATGGATATATCAGTCTGAAGACTTTAATATCATGTTCTACCCGCACGTTTATATGAGTAGTACGCGTTGACGCGAGTATGTACATTGAATGATAGACATGCCACTTCTCGTGTTCGACTGCTTGCGTAACGCTCGACTAGCTTGAGTAGCCTTTCTCGATCTTCTCGATGATTGAGAGAGGATTGTTGCATCTCTACCAGACATTCTCGGCATACCAAGCAAAATCGATGTATCCACATCGCGATATCGATGCGTCGAGGGTGATGCTTATGCGGATATTTTCAAGTATAGATGTCAAACGAATGTACTCGATTTTCATAGTCATCACAATCTATAACTTTTAGCTAGACATATCACTTGATCTACATTATTTTTTTTATTTTCCTTAAAAATATCATGATAATAATATAAACTTAAAATTAAAATGATATAAAATTAAATATTTTTATTTTAATAAATAAAAAATGAGAATTAATAGGAGGAAAATATTGCTAAAATTATTATTTAATTTATACATGGTTTATTCCCCAAGAAATAAAGTAATTAGAAAATTTTTATCATTTCTCCAACATGTCTGTTGAAATCATGTATTCTATCGCGTTGCTATTTTACACCGTGGCCGATTCGATGTCTGAAAATTTCTAGAGGGGTCCCGAGCCTACTGCGGTCTGCCGTGTCGTACATCAACGTCTCACGGAAGGTGGGCGGACGTCGCGTCAGCGGCTGACGCCCCGCGAAATTGAATCTAAAGGTCCGAGTGTACCCCTACACACGCCAATCCTCCCCACGAAGCTGCAGGGAGGTCGCAAATCATCACCTCGCTACATTTACAACGTTAGATAGCCCAAGATTACAGTCGTTCCACGCTCGACTGTGCTATAGAAACACAAGGTGCTTCTCCTCGCGCGCCTTTCATCTTCCCTCTCTTTCTCTGTCTTTCTCTCTCGACTGGGATATTACAGTGCCTTTCGCGAAAGCGATCCCTCGCCGTTCTCGCGAGCTCGTTGCCTACTTAAGCGAAACAATGTGGCCCCTCTGCGATCGGCCGCGCGCGCGCGCGAGCAACGTCCAGCTCGTAAATTATCCGCCGGCGGGGACTAATGAGCTCGTGATTATAGGGACCGGGGGTAAAAAAGGGCGTTCTCCTACGGTTCTCTTCGCGACGTGCACTCTGGTGATACATCTCGAGTTCGTTGCTGCCCAAGATGAATACGCGAAAGTGTATTGGGACAATTTTTTGTGCGTAAGGTAGGATGGGGACTCGGTATACGATGAAATTCTTGGCTCGAGAGTGGACCGCGTGGTGAATGTGTCGGACTCAATTAGATTTAACGCAGTAACGTGGGTTCGAGGAGACTCTTGAAATTGTTGTGAATAATGTTTTTGAAACAGGGAACTTGTACATTTTATCGTCGCTGTCCGATCTATCATCTGTAAGATGATAATTTGTAACGTCTACATTTGCAAGAAATAATAAAAAATATTATCCACTTTATTTAAGAAGAAGAGTTTACCATAGAAAGAGAGACCGTACTTCTTGCCTTACCAGGAAAAATGAAAAAAAAATTATGGTATTGCGCGACCTCATGTAAAAATCTCCAGACATTATTTACGAAATAAAGCTTGATGATCTCAAGGGGATCAGTCGTATTTCGTTTGCCAATGGAGGATTTGCTTTCTCGGCCGATCAAACAATGCGCCCTGAAGCGCGCCATCAGGGCCCCGAGGAGTCTCTCGTATTTCTCTTAAAACGACGCGAGCGTTCACGTGTGGCAGCAGAAAGGATTGGAGCTGGATATTCCCTTCCTTTTTGTTCACGAGGGACTCTGGTCTCGCACGAAATTCCAGACATCCACCTTCCTCCCTCGCCCATCAACCTTCCCATGTCCTCTCACGCGGCTCGCAAAACATGCACGAGCCCATACGGACTTATCCTTTCTCCGTCGTCTTAAGCCGTTCCCGCGTTTTTACATTCTCGACGAAATCCCTGTAGCTTTGTGCCAGTTTATTACGTTTGCCAACCAAATGATGTCATTAGATATACTTAGGCGAGGTTTTATTGCCGTCTTTTATGCCGGTCGAACGGCTCCTGTGAAACGAATTCGTGCTGAGCATTCACGACTCATCGGTTATCATGCCGAAATTCGTCGTCTCGCTCGTGTTTCTCAGATAGAAGGCTTTACGGCTTCTTTTTCTTCTTCTCGCGACTACGTGAGAACCAGCTATACATTTTTACTACCTTCATATTGTTGGAGAGATATTTTTCGTAGCAACTTTTCATATAAGATATCTAGGTACACATATGTTTTACAATAAGTCCTTGTGCGTCACACATCTTGAATGTGATGAAACTCGGCATCAATGGCGAACCATGGATTTTAAATAGGGAAGGGTTCTAATCAATCATCTTCCAAGTTGACAAAGTTACAAAATTAATTTCTTCGACGATTAAAAAAATTTTCATGTCGTACAAGATGTTAAACATTTTTAAATAATATTTATTTCTTGTTTAGATAATTTCTATTTTGAATATTCTTAATTAAAAATTACAATCATCTTTATTGAAAACAAGTCTTTATATCTCCATTGTAAAATATTTTAAGCTATTTATAAACTGATTTGCTATGTAAAGAGCGATAACCTTTATCGAAAAATATCTGTTACAGAATATTCAAAAGAAAATTAATTAACATATGAAGAGAATTCGCGATCTTTTTGTTATCAGTACGATTAATACGATTAATCTGAGCTAATGGACTTTATTGAAAATTAAAAGTTCTTTCAGCATGATTCGATAAATTATAATGCATTTGGTATTTAAATATTATTATTACTTATTTTTATATTTATTGAGAAAACAAAATTTTAAATAATAACTATGAAATAAATATAAATAAGTCAAAATGCATTCATAATAAAATGTATAAGAATCTCCAATATTTAATGAAATAATTAAAGAGAATTAATGTTAGAAATTGATAGTCTTATTTTTTTAGCTGTTTTGACATTTTTTGACATTTATTTTTCATCCTCAAAATTAATTAAATAAATTTACAAATGCAAAATAAATTTACAAGTGCAAAATGCCGACCGATTTACCCGTTGATATGTTAAGCAGATCTTTGTCGGAGATTGTTTTTAGAAGAAAAAATAATGCTTTATTTAAAAAATTAGCGCGAAAAACTCACTTTAACTTGAAAGAAGTCGAAGGTTATACAGCAAGATAAATATACTTCGATGTTATATCTTTTCATTAACTTGATATAATTTTCATATACTTTGATTTACTATCAATTAATCTTATTATAGCGTTAGCTGTTATACATAGGAAAATAACGCAAACTTTGGGTCCCATGACAAGATCGGTGTTTAGAGACGTTCTACATTCTGGTTTGGATTTTACTGAAAATATTCGACACCTATACATTGATAGAATTTTCGCTATGTTTGACAAGAGAAACGTCTTACAAGTAAGAGCAATTAATGCAATGTAAATGCTTAATAATTTGTATTTTATGGTAAATTATTATGATTATGCGGCTGTGTAGATTCATGTGGAACAATGGATTGAAGGACTTTCTATATTTCTTCGAGGCACTCTGAACGAGAGAGTACACTTCGTTTTTAATGTAACCTTCATCTTTCTATAATTATATTTTACATAGAAACTTTTAGATTTCAATGTACATCCTCAATATTTTTATAAAGTTAAAGTTAATTATTTATATTGTGAAAGAATCACGTATGTATGTGTGTAAGGAACAAATATTATTTTAACCATATGATATTTACATAGATATACGATTTCTGGCATACCAACAAATTAAAGAAGGAGCATATATTTCTGTCAATGCGCGGTTGCCTAATTAAACTACAGACAGACGAAGATCCCGATGATGGTGTCAAGGTTAATTAATTAAAAATATTGATAATATCAGAATTTAGTATGTCATTAAGAAATGTACATTGCTAGTGACATGAAAATTCGTATTTCCTAAAAATACGTATAAAAAACAATAATGAACAAATTATATAGGATTTGATTGATTCGCTGTTGAAAAAAGTCGACATTGATCGCGACGGTGTAATATCCGAGGAGGAATTTCACAGATCCATAAAAGAAAGATATCCACTGCTGCTAGAATGTATGGGACCAGTGTTTCCATCTAGAGTAGCACGACGAGCATTCCTGAGCACATTTACGGATCGCCTTGGACGATTTTGACTCGCATGTTTTACGAAACAAGTCATCATTTATTTAATTGTGTACTCAACAACGTCGATCGTGATCCACGTTTTGTCAAACTTACTAATCTTGTATAATAAAAGTATATATATAATAATCTCTTTAAATGATATTGCCAAGAGCTATTCAAGCTAGAAACCTAAAAGTACATCCCGATGCAATAGACAGGAAAACGCGCTAAATCAGATAGAAAAAGATCCTCCCGGAGGAGCGACGCTCCAATAAGTTTTCGAGATCGTCCATGTAACGTACGGTCTTTATGATTCACCGAACGATGGCAATTGACTCGTCCGTTTTCTTCGCAAACAATCGTTAATGGACCGCGATAATACCACATCCTAATCGCATCAGTCTGCATCCGCGATACGATCGTCGAGCGGGTGAATTGAATCGATCGCTCCCATGATCGCTCGATCGATGAGCTCGCGCGATCGTCATAAATCTTATTACTATAATCAGCGTGAATAGATGATCGATTCATATATCCGCGTGCTATTTATCATGACATATCGATCGACGATCGCGACTGCGTTATTAGTTATATATCATAAAAATATCGCGCGATGGAGGAAGATACGAATCTAAAAGTGCGAAGGAAAAGAGAAAGAGGAACTGTCAAGGATAAATCAGCTGTGTTCTCTTGTAAGGAGGTCTCGCATGAGGTCCACCTGCTCCGCGATCTCTCGATTAATAGAGACCGCTTGTGGGATACGGAACAAATATAGACCTTTCCTGCGAGAGCGAGATGAGCCGTAACCCCACCATCATCGCGAATCGCGCGAGCGGTCTCGTAAATGTTACGAAAAAAAAAAAAAAAAGAAAAAATATAATGAATGTTTGAGGGATCCTGTGAACGGACGAATGAACCGATCCGCGTCTCAAGCAGCTATAACAACAAATTAAACGAGAAAGTCTCGAGGCTTTCGTCGGCTCTCGGTCGACGTCTCCCGTTGCCTATGGTCTCGGCTACAATGCGTGGGCGTAGGATATACAGTACCGAGGCGTATGGCAACGCGTATTTCTTCCTCGACGATGTGGGAGTGGGGAGGTGAGCTGAAACGATATTGTGTAAAGAGTATAATAACGTGCGTATGAAAGGCCGGGTCCTTTGTGGGTAGCCGACCGTGTCCTGAAAGGATCTTCCAGGATCTGCTCGCGGGAGTGACGGGGAACAACGGAGGGGGGAGAATCGTCGATGGTTAGGGGCATCAGGGGCACCAGCTGAGAAAACACGCCCGCGGCGTGTCGACGAAATATTCACGTACGAGCGCGCGTATGCTCGCGTCGACGAAAAGGGGCCGGGCTGGCGCACCGATCTGATCTGATTTTTGGGAACGATTGTCCCTTAAATTCCTTTAAAGCCGTACTATGGAATGGAGCGGGGTATATTCCACATTTCAACACACTTAAAGGCGGTGCCGTCTCGGCGGATGTCGAATCGGTGTTTTACCATGTTTGGTTACAGAAATTATAATCGCAATAATCCGGCGTAAAAAAACGATTTCGTTGACAGTCGACCACGATTCTGAGGGTAAAATGCGAATAAATTATATTCAGAGAGTCGCGATGATTGCAAATGAGTAAAGTCGGGAAATTAAATTCTTTCGTATACTTGTTTCCTGCCGACGAGGTGCGTCATCTGGCAAGATGACAGATTTTATTAAGGATGAAATATCTTTCATTAACGAGAACTATCGCGCAAGGAAATTTAATTACAAATGTTACAGCAACATGGCTCTATATTAAAAACAGCGAACGCGATCGGTGGCTGGAAACAATTCGAACAAATCGTATCGTCTATCATGTTCCTCAAGTCATCACGTTTCGTGTAAAAGGCGAGGCTCGTTTCATCTATCGCGTTTGAGGCAGAGATTGCGGCGGCAGTATATTACCGTGTAATCTAGCCAGCGATGGCATGTGGAAGCCGCAGAAGCGAATCCGTGAATGATGGAAGCGATGTATGCGCTTGAATACGAAACATAAATTATAATCAGCCCTCGGATCTCAGGCGCGGGATAGCCGTGATTACAACAGGACGTGATGAGATTCTGGACGATTCGATTTGCGCGGCACACGCCCACACATCAAAGAAGCCGACGACAGGATCATGAAAATGTCCCGTGAGTCTTTTTCCAGCGATAAATCCATGAAGAGCCGTCTGGCCGACTAATCCGCACCGAAGTCCCAGCGGCTGGATTTGTTAGTCGAATATTAATGTAGGGAGGAAGAGAAGATGATCTTTCTCGGAAGAGAGAAAGGAGTACAACCGAATTTATTTTTTTAGCTCTTAAAGGTGTTATATCTTCCTCCTACGTATTGAATTATTTAATCGTCCGTATTAACCAAAATATATTAGACTCTGTCGGAATTTAAAGAGGCACTTATTCAAGAGCGGCAGATGCAAGCCGATACGAATTTACACAGACCTGCCGGCAAGTTTAATTCCCATTCGAGTTCTATTTGCAAACAATGCGCTATAAGGGGCCTATGGTAACGTTGTACATTGTGGAGGCACGACGACCGCAAACATTGAGATTTACAGCGAGCTGTATCCCACGCCTGTACGCGAAGGCGCGCGATTTCGCGAAATCGATAAATTTAATTAAAGCACGTGTCGATAACTCCGGATACGCGCGTGTGTTCGGGAAAGATAAATGCGAGGAATCGCTCGTGGCCGATTGTGTGTGCTTTCCGAATTGCGTCCATAAATATCGACGGCGTCGGTGTTATACGTTCTAGACCGGGGCCGTTTGCTTGAGCAATGTTTCGTGTCCGGAATGTTCAATGAAGCGCGCAGATGCGCGAACATACCACGTGTCATCCGGTTACGAGAAACGGAGAACCGCGGCATGAGGTCATTCGGGCGAACGCGATATCGCGTCCCGTCGAAATGGCGGGATCTGGGTTCCAACCGGATGGATAAATTCAGGAAGGTTTCCTTAACAAATTCCATGATTTATCTGTTTTTGGAACCGCACGAAGTGAGAGACATCAAACTTCTCACCTATCGCACATGTCCTTTTAGAATATGCGGATCGATAAGTATCTCTTTTCGGTCTCGGTAATATTGTTTTCTGAGGAAAATAATCGTGCTATAAAAATAATTATTTTCGAGAGAATTCGCGTGAGAATTTCCTCGAGAGAACAAGACTCCCAAGAGACGTATGCATTTTGTATTGCGATAATTAATTCAATTCAACCGACCAAGCTAGCGAAATTTTTTTCCACCCGTCGAGAGTTAGTTCAGCTTAGCAGACGCAACGAAGGAACGTCAGCGAGCAGTGATAGGGATCTTTATTGTTTTTTCGAAAGGAACGACGGGGGTAACGCCCGCGTTGTGCCACGCGACTAGACAGATTTCGGGGAGGGAAAGAAAGCAGACGTCCGTCTTACGTGAACCGAGCGTGAAGCATACGCGCCTTGACGGACGGCGAGATATTAAATCAACCGGCCCGGCTCTTCCAGCCGTTTGTTTCTCCTTTCAAGCCGGATTCAATTTTCTCCACGACGTCTTGCAAATCGAGGGATATAGCCGCGTGGCCGAAATTTATATGTATACAAATACGACGCCTTCTCAGGAGAACAGTGGTTATCATTCAGTTTTTCGTTCATATTTAATTATAATAAATATTATAAATCTAGTGTAATTTTACATACATATTCTGCGTATATCTCTCATAAATTATTTGTATTCATTTAAAACTGTCAAATGTTGAATATATGTTTCTCTTAAGCGTATATAAAGGTATAAAGAAACGTTGTCTGAATCCCCAAAAACGTGTGATAAACAGTATTCTTAAATCTCAAGATTTATAGAGGTATTTGGCAAAAAGCGCAAAACGCGTACTTGTTCAAAGTCGAGCTCGACGAGCTCGATTACCTTCAACAGATAGCGACCCAATTAATGGTTGAAAAGAGAAGGGAGATTAATATTAGGTAGAAGGGGAGAAAGGGAGGTCGTTCTCTTCCAACCTAACGGCCGTAAGGCCCGGACAGGCTGTAAGATAATAGCGGCTCGCAGGCCGAGAGATCGAGGGATCGTCATAAACTATCTTAAGGTGTCGAGTTTGTCACGGTCATGCGAGACCGAGTTTTCAAAACAGGATTAGGCGTCCGCCAGATCTCAAGAAAGGTGTACATCGCTCCCTCTTCCTCTCTCGCAATCCTGCGAAACGTGCATCGTCTATTTTTTTTTTCAGTGACGTTCTAGGAGGGCTCCTTTTTCTCGGGGCGTCTTCGTGCTGCAGACTCGGCGAGGATTATCCACATCCGGTCATTTCTGCTTAATTTTTTTTTCGCTTCTTCGACCGATCTCGCATCTTCATAGAAGCACCGAGAGAGATATCGAGTGCTTTATTGATCCATTCTATGGGCGTCTACTGAACCGAACGGCTCAATGGCTTTTGCCTATTGTTCGGCTTTCTCCCGAATAATCGTTTCTTTGATCTGATTTCTTCGGAGGGGCAAGATTCTTCTTTTTTTTTTTAAACTTCCTCTTGCGATCTCCGCCCGCAATGAATTTCATGGCGATTTTAACAGCGGTGGCTCGCTGCTGGCCTGGTAGATAAGTTTTCCAAGTAAATACGATACCTTGACACGAAAAAAGTAATAACAGCAATCGTTATAAAGTAGCCAAGGATACGTCGTCGCGTCATGGTAATTTATTTTACAGCTGCAAGCTACGCGATGAGGAAGGACGACTGCCGGCTTGTATCAGCTTGTTTTCCGTCATTTCTTTCGACGTAATCCGACGCTCGCAGGATGCTCCATTATCCTGTCAGGTTACTCACAGGGAAAGCGGCGGTTCGCCACGAAATAGGTCGACCGTTTGGCCACAGAGCTTAAAACATACAGGATTAGCATAATCAAGCGGTCGAGCATAGGAAACATTTTGACTTTACGACGGTTCCTCCTACCGTCACTTCAACGATTACTTCGTTTTATTTTTTGATTTGGCTGGTTTCAGTAACGATCCAATT